AGCGATGTGGTTTACTCTCTAAAATCCTGTGGCTCTGCGACTCCACTCAAATCTTAACTGCCTATATATCTTTTTTTTTTTATATATCTTTTTTTTTATGTAGTCGCTGAGTTCCCCCTGCAGCAGGACTGAAACACTGGTATTGCCTGCTGAGGCTCTTCGTAATGTATTTTTTCCCGGTTGTTTCTTCAACATTTTATTTTCTCCATGTTTATTCCAGCCCTTTCCATAGCAGGGATCTGTTTTCATTTTTCTTTGTTCAGCTACCAATTGTATGGATCAATGTTAAAAGGAAAACACCAATTTGTGTTCCATGTTGTTAGAAGATAAAATGGTATACTTGTTTTATTAGAAGATACAATTCCACCTTTGTATGTATTCAAGCAATTTAGCAACTAATCCTGTCCCATCATCTTAACAAGAAAAATACAACACATTAGGGCATCAATAATGATGATCCAATAACATACTGCGTAAAGTGATAATGTAGCACATTATGCGCACTTCTATTTTAATATTTTAGACACATTTTTCGAATACTTTTTCAATGCAGGACTCATATTGTCTAATATATGGATTTCACAGTACTACTATTTTTAAAGGTTTACACTACAACAACAAAAACCCACAATTGGCAGATTGACCCTAATGCAAATGTTTTGTCACGTGGACGAGTGTTCTTAGTGAAGATACAATTCAGCAGTGAACCGGATAATTGTGTGCAGAAACGGTGTTTTACCCACTTCATCAGTGTGCGAGTGCTCAGATCTAATCCGCAGAGTAAAAATGACCTTCCTTTGACCACCTTTGTAATTACCAGATCTCATGCAGTCTAAATCTCCTTACCTCCAGTGGAGTAATTATCAGTGTGACTCTCTGAAAAGGCAATTGAGACAGTGCTTTATGGACTCCCATAGTGGAACGTGAGGCAGAGCAGTAATGGGGAGCTTGTTTGTCCCCTCTTGTTAGAGAGCGACAGCTGTGTTTAGACTCGAGCAGTGCCTTAAAAATACAGAGTATGTCACATTGGACAATTTCATTAACTCCTGACTGCAGCTTCTGATCTGTTCTTAAATTACAGCACGCCTCAATTCCGCCAAAGAAGTTCAGCATTGCAATTAAGCTTGATTTCCTGTCATGATTTAATTATATATCTGTGCTGAGTATATGAGCTGATATTTCTGAAGCAATAACTTAACAAAAGCACAGTGAGTACTTCATTTTTGTAAAGCACCTGTGTTGAAAGGTGCTTTATAAATAAACTTGCCTTGCCTTGCACACTTACTGATTTTGCATAAAACTAAATGTATTCATACTACTCAATACATTGTCTTCAAGGTTTTCACATTATGTTCTCCTTTTTGATTCCCTTTATGTTGAATTCCTGAGAACATGAGGCAATCACATTTGTTCTTTATTCTGTATGAAGCATTTAATGCAATAAAAGATGGTCAAAGCCCTTTTATGTACACATTATGAGTGTAGCCTCTCTTTGTGTTGGCCTTGACTGGGCCTTTTTAAAAGGGCCATTATATGATGGGCAGCTATTTGTATAGGCTTTTCTGGCAAGCATCTATGCATTAATAGATATTTATTTTACACTGTAGTTAGTTTGAGATAAATCACGAAAGTTATGTAGAGCGCATCTTACAACTTCATGTCATTGGCATACAAAGACATATCACATACTGTGCATTTGTGGTAGTTTTGAACCATTCATGTCGTGCTTGTTCCTCAAACTTCACATTTAGGTTGAGTATCAATTGTCTAAAAAGTTTGCCCTGAATCTACCTGTACACAAACCAAAGATAATATTACTGTTCGGGAATAGGTGTTGTGCGTTGGGAGGAAAACAAGCAGTCGAATCAGCCCCAGAGAGAAAAGTGCTGTAATAGGGGGGCTAGCAGGGACTACTGAGATAGCGCTGGTAATGAGAGAGCAGGCTGCTTCCCCCCACCTTCACTCCTCAACCGCACAGGAAACAAAAATAGCATTTTGTCTGACGAATGAGCCGGCTTTGACCTAGCCTTTCGACCTCTGACAATCAGTCTCGCTTCGTCCTCCAGTTCTTCAGAAGCCGGGGCGGGACAGTCACAGATAACAGTTGATTTCTTCCGTGGCACTAAAAGGAAAAGGGAGATGGCAGACACTTTCTCAAAGCACTGAGGTTGGAGACTTCTCAGTGCTGGAGTTTCTTAGTCCCATAAGATTTTTGTTAAATGGTTAAATGGAGCATAAAAATACCACAGTTCAGCGTGCATCTGATCATTTAGCTTCACGACTTCCCTCTATGATCTGGCTCATTCCTCATTATAAACATTAGCATAGGCGAGTTGTGACAACAGTGAACGTGGGACCCCTTGCTCTAACACCCCCCCTCGGGCGTCATGATCAAGTGGGAGCGCTGCTTGCACCACAGTCGGCATATGAACAACAAAGAGACAGTAGGAGATATAATGAGCAGTGTAGGAGCCCCGGCAGCCTTTTGCCCTCTCTCCATCATAAGTGAAGCTACCACTCTCATCCTCTGCCCCGTGTCTGCTCGAGGAAGGAGCACAAACAATTAGCTGAGACAAGCCGCTTGGATTATGTGCTCAACCAAAGCAATCAGACAGCTGTGGTTAAAAGAATGAGCTTCAGAATGCCAGTTGCCCAGTTAGAGGGGAAGGGAGGGTCAGCGGCCCTGACAGTCTTAACAAGATGACAGAATTTATAAAGCACTGCTGTTAAAGAATATAGTACCTGCGGTGTAGCCCTTATAATAGGGCCACATGGGGCTTCTTCCATATTCCCTCTGTATTTGTTTTCTTTTGCCTCATATTTTTTTGTTGTACCTCTTGTTTCTCGGCGTAATGGTTAGCGCTGCAGGAAATTCAACGGTCGTCTTTGATCTTCGCCTGGTTCCGATAATTTTTTGACAGAAATCTCATTTTATACCCCCCCCCCCCCCCCTCCTTTGCTTTTCTCCGTCTTTGTTCCCTCTTATACCGTCTTTAAATAGGGCTCAACATTTTGTCGTTGTGAAGTTGCAATAGGAAAAGAGCCCGGTCCTGTCAGGGGCTTCGGCGCTCACTAGATAACTTGCCCGAACATTTCAAGTGAGAATTGGACTCTTGCCGTTTGCTCAGGTGATATATAATTCATGATGGGGGTTTGAGAGAGGTGTCAATGTGTCAGGAGGTAGAAGAAATGTAAAAGTGTAGTGTTTACTGGCCAAGAGACACTGGCTTTCTTTTGCCGACTTCTGCAGAGGGAAGCGGAGGATGATCTGATGTTCATCATTCATACGTGCCTGTCCTGCAGTCCAAGTGACCACACTAATCAAAGACTTGTCTGCCATGATCTTTTATCCATATTTTATGAGGCAACCATACTTAAATTATTTAAGTGCATTGATTCTGTATGTATACAAGCATGTCTATGCCTTGCTTGGCTGCATTATCAATAGATGATCACGAACACTCTTTTGTTATCCAGTCCTTTGTGTTTCAAGTTTTGATTATAGTGCATTGTGTATGTGCTTTCTCATAATGCTGTAGATAGGCTGTAGTCTTTCAACATAGTTAAAAAACATTGTACCTTTTTTGGAGTTGAAATGCTTTTTTTGTCCTTTTTTTTATATCAAAATAAAATTCTAATGTTTTAGTTCTTTAACAATTCTTTTTTAAGTTGAATTCTCTACCAGTTTGTTGCTTTTAAGATAGTGGGCTTAGATATAATGCAGAATAAACCTATTTTCTTTTTTCCTTTCAATCCTTTTTCCATATAATCTCTAGATAGGATACTTTAGAGTTCAATATGAAATATTAAGATAAAGATCAGGTGATGTCCCCTCTAAGCTGCATTATCTTCTAAAACACTTTGGATTCTGTCATCTGTTTTATTCATCCATTTATTAAAGCTGTAACATTACAGTCAGAATAACTGAACTAAAGTCATTATAGGAACAATATATTCTAAAGGACTATGATCTGTGAATCACCATATACAGAACTGTTTTTCTTTATGGAATATAGTTCCTTTTAAGGATTTTCCAGTGTGTTTGGCTGAGAAAAGGCTGTCAGCAGCTCTCATAGAGTGAGTGCAGGTATAAAAACACTTTTCTATCCATGTGTGGAAACTCAGTTTGTCCTTTTTACTGCTGTGAAGGTCAGCTTAGATGTTGTTTTTGGCTCAATTCTCCACGTATAGTATTACTGTTGATACCTTTAGTATTATTTGTTTTCTATGTGTTGGTATGTATATACTGTATGTGTGGACTGTTAGAAGATCCACCATATTCTGTAATGAGATGTTATCGAGTGAACTGACTGCCATAGAAAACCACCATGAAGTTGAGGTGCACCTGAACACCAAATTTGTATTCTATATTATATCTGAGGTAGATACTCTGGGGCCATGGTCATATTTGCATGCTGGTGTGGCTGCAGCCCGGCTCACCCTGAGTGTTAACCGTTTTTTTAAACAGCATCAAAATGTATAAGCATTTAAATGTAGACATTAGGTTCTAATGGTGAGCCATTATTGGATCCAATTAGTTAATGGGTTTATTTCTGAAGTCTTCCAGTGAAGATGGATGTCTCTTTCCTATGAGATTTTAAGCCATTAAAACAAAGATTCTGACATTCTCCAATTGACAATGAAGACTTTTGGCTCCAGAGAGAGCAATTATATCAGTCAGGCGTGATAGCTTTGTCCTCCAACTAGCTAAATTAAATTCACAGACTCTATCATGCAAGCTAAAAACCCTGGAGGACCTTGTTGTGGCTCCATGCAATTTACATCTGTCTCCCACTATGCATCCTATGCATCCCACACCTCCATGTGTATATGTATCTGGGGTGTTAGCATATTCTTCAAATAATGAGGACTTTCTGTTTATATGCAGAAAAAAATGTTGTCAATCCCAATTTCATTTGCGTATGTTACAGTATATGTCGAGAGTTCAGGTCGCCAGCACAACAATGAACCAAATAACTCTCGTTTTTTTTCATCAACAGCTACCTCAACTCTGAACTCCCAGCTCCAACACCTGCAGCAGCTCCAGCAGATGCAGCAGCACCACCACCAGCAGCAGCAGCAGCAGCAACAACAACAACAACAGCAACAGATCCAACAGATCCAACACCATCACCAACAGACCCTCTCCCACAGCCACAACGCGCTGCAATCCCAGCATCACATGACCCCGCCCAACCAGCAGCAGACCTCCATCCCGTCTCCAGGCTCCACCTGCTCCTCCACCTCTGGACACCAGCAGCACTCCCCACCCCACCGGCCCAACCACTCCCCGGCCCGCAGCCTTCCTTCGCCCGTAACCCCACCCATGCCTCTGTCGGTGAGTTCATAACCTGCACCAATCCAACTCTTACTGATACCTACGTTTGTGAAAAGGCCTCATGGTGTTTTGGTAACAAATGTCTTTTAGTTTTAATATTTGTTGGTAAAAAAATGGTTTCTCTCACTGCAACTGATTGATCATATTTATTTGTGTAAAGTAACATGAGGTTATAGATACATAATGCCTCTAAGCTATCATTTGAAATGGTCATACACCAACCTCTTCAAGTTGTATTTTGTATTACTTCATAAAAGAAAAAACTATAAGTGTATATTGCTACTTCTGACATATACCGGATTATATTACTCTAATATGTTATCTGGTATCAACAATACTGATCCACTATGTTAAGGCTTAGTTTTATTCGTATTCACTAGTTAATGGTCTTAATACTTGCTAGGGCTATAGATACAGTGATACGAGACTACATATCTTTTTAGATTTTTAAATACTTTCATATGGCATAAGTGTTTCCGAGTTTTAAAGGCGACATTACACTTAAGGTGTACTGCCCTAATGCTTGCTATTGTACACTACACAGATTAAAGGCTCCAAGAAGTGATCAGTATAATTTACCCCATTCATGTCATTTTCCATTTAAAGTCAATGGAGTACATACAGAATACTAAGCTAATTAATTCATAGTAAACTAGATTTGTAATTCCTGTAAATCTCCACTTAAAAAAACAAAGTGCTGCTTAAGCAGTTTACTATACACTTGATTCTCTGTCAGCACTTGATCCTAATCAAGAGGCAGCTTTTGAATGGAGGCTGTCAATGTGGAGCTATTATATGCATCTTGTTGCTGAAGCCTTGACGCATTTGATCACATCCAACCACACAAGAGGCACGACTCGCTCGGGAGGAATTCTGAGGTGATCTAAGCTTTCCGGCTATAATCAGTCCCTTAATCTTCACTGCTCTTCCTACTCAACCTCCTTTTTAGTCACCGTGTACGTCCATCTATCTCTGCTGCTCTGTCCGTCTGGCTGTCAGTGTGTGACGATAATAACCTATTTTATATCCCTGTGGTTTCATTTCTGGTGGAGACTGGCCAGGGTCGCCTTTCTGTCCCTGGTCACATTCATCAGCGTCAGACCCTTATTGGGTTGTGGTGCAACCTTCTTTATGGCCAGGATGAGTTGGGCTATTTGTTTCCCCCTCGCAGCCCTCTCCGGCCCTGTCACGGCCTAGTGAGACTCAGCTGGAAAAACAGCCTCTGGATTTAATGGGCTCCCGCTACATCGCACCAAACACACTGTCCAGTCTGACTGTGGATACTGACCAACATACCGATTCACACATTACGCCTGCATCAGGCGATGTACAAAGACCTTGGATAAGAGATGCACTACAAATAGACTACTAATACATCTCTGATTTAACTTTGTTACATTTCCTGGAATCTGTGAAAATGTCTCTGTGACTCACAAAGACAGCAGGGGTGCTCTAGCTCTCTGCAATAACAACACTGAGACCCTTAGCTTTAAACAGATTGTCTTCTTCTAAAAGTAGCAGGGAGGCTGATTATGATGACTGAGGACAGAGCTCCCTGAGGGGGGCAAAGAGGCCACATCAGGTATCATTAAGATATTGGCTCATCAAATAGGATTATGGAATGTGTGTGTGTGTGTGTGTGTGTGGGAGGGGGGGTAGCAAGGAGAAGAATGGCCGTAAAAGGTTTAGTTTCTCTGGGTCAGTGCTGGTGTTTTCAAAGAGTGTGTCACCCAGCGAGGGGCTCGCCCAAGGACAGGTCGCAGCCACAGCACCCACTCAAGGCTGCAATAGGATTTAAACAGCGGCTACACCCCTCTCCACCGTCTGGGACAGTGATTGGATTTTCAGACTCAGAATCACTGAGCGACTAAACTAACAGGTTAATTCACTTTTTACGTTTTTTATTCTGGGAGACTCCCTGAAAAGAGATTTTGTCACAAACTCGTGAATTGTCACCATGATCTTCCTTTTTTTTTAATGATAAGTGAAGACATAAGGACATTTCTGGTGTTTCCATGCTTCACCCAGAGTTGATTACCATAATGTAATCAGCATTAAACAGATAGCACCCATATTTCCTATTTGTATTATTCACACGTGCAGAGTCACTCAGCCAGAATCCTACAGCACAGAGCTGCTGAGAAACAAACACTCATTATGTTCCAATTAATGTCCCATTGTAATTATCTTCTCATGGGAGGTGTGATCTTCTTCGTCAAGCCAAAGTGAGGAAATCCTGAGCATTCATTACATCCCTCGTGTTTTTAGTGTTTTAAATTTGTGGAACATAATTCATTAATAGGCTCATAAATATCCCGATTATACAAATACAAATCACACCCCAACAGACCCCTTGAGTCAGTGGTGTGAACTCAAATTAAATCTGCTAATTTGGTTAAGCAGAGTAAGAATGTACCTTTGCACCCCGCCCTCCCTGCTCCCCATGCAGAGTACAGTAAGATGCGGCCCGTTGGCTGCCTGGAATAGCCACCACAGTGATGACAAATAGACGGGGGGAGATTATGAAATTTGCTTAAGTGTGTTAATGGGCTGATTGCGGGAGCCCGCTGGATTTCGCTGGAAGTTGATTGATTAGAGCTGCGGGTTTTCTCCACGCCCGAAGAGCTCAGGGATTTGACGGGGTAAAGGCGCTCGCCAAGTCTGTTACACCGGAATTGATCTTAATTAGATCTGAAAGACCTGCCACAGCAGAATGGTCGCGGCGATTAAAATGAAAAACAGGAGAAATTACTGATCAAATTAATCATAATGTCGGGCTACAGCTGTAGGTCTGGTGTAATTTGCCACTCCAGTGAGTTACATCAGCCCAGGCAGGGAGAGGAGAGGTAGTACATACTGATCCGTGGCAGCGGGAAGCTTAGGCCAGCCTATCAACTCTCTTATTCCAGTTCCTGTGCCCCGGACCCACATGACCCTGCTGCGCCATCCAGTGGAGCCCCCACATCTCTCCCTGGCTCTGATACAATTACTCCTTCTTCCCTTTTAGCCAAATCCGTCTACATTATGTCTTTCTTCATTGGAGAGCAACGTCTTCAACACTGCTGCTCTTGTCACGGCCGTCCTGTCACCGGCATGTTGTGTGTTAGCTAATCTGACCTTGGTCCAGTGTCTGGCTGGCTGGTTGGGGGGGGGGGGTTGTCTCATGGCAGAGAGATGGAGGCATCCTTCTTTCCTCCTCTGTCAGACTCCTGCCGTCTGTCTGCGCGTCTGTCTCTACTCCTCTCCGCAGTCGTCTCCTTGATCGCTGTCAGAGCCCCACACTGGGCCTGTCCACTCTCCATCCGCACACTCATAGGGGTAATTACAGCCTTGGGGCCTGCCTCCCATCCCCGTGCTCCACAATTTACCACCAAAGCGTCCACAGACATCTCTCTCCTTCCCCACTGCACCCCGACATCACAGGACCGCGGGGCCTCAGACCCACAAGTGCTGCAATTACCTGAGCCTCCCCTCTATCCTTTTCTCTCTCTCCGTCTATTCTCTCTCCTCTCCCCTCTCTACACCTTGGCTCCCTCACTATTCCCTGGCAATCAGCCTTCATTAGAAACCTCTGGTGCAAACCCATCGTCACCAAGGTCAGCGACTGCCAACCACAGCGGCCTTTCAGAGGCCGGGCTGTCTGCACTCTCCATCTCTTCTCACCTCTTTGCCATTCTCTCCACCTCCTCCTCCTCCCATTCACTCCGCCATCCTACTCGAGTCCTGGGCCCATCTCTGACGCTTTTGTCTCCAGCTGAGGCCCCTTCAGACACTCATGTCACTGTTTTCCGCTGCAGTGCACTTTTACTTATGTCACCCGCTGTTAAAATCACCACTGTCCAATTTGCTCAAAATGTCTCTTTTTTTTATGGCCCGTCTCAGCCATTATATTAACATGTGTATTAAATGAGCCCTGCACATCGATTCATTGATTTTCCAGATCAGCACCACGTCTATTCAATTTAGCGAAACGGGCTTCCATCATTTCATGGGGTATTAAATCAAAATTAAGAATGACATGCTCAAATGTAGACCCAATGGCTCACAGTGAGGCTTGTCGATGAAACTGGCAACGCTTAAGTTGGGAAAATAGTCCATTATCTATCAAACATCTCATAACTCAACTGTGGTTCCTGTTGTATGAAAAAAAAAAAACTCACGGAGGATATTAATATAATTGTACAGATATGTTACATATTGTTTCTTGGAATAAATACCATATGCATATAATTGAGAGCTAATTTGTTATTTTAATTGTAATCAAATGTATTTGATAATGAGGGGGTATTTCTCCAAGTCTCAAGTCTTCAGATAATCTTGTGGCTATATAAATTGTTCAAAAACGTAATTCAAAAGTGTCTTAGGGGGTTGGGGTTGTGCTACAGAAATCAAAGTATTTCCTTAAATGTTGTATCTTACGTTTAACATTTATATTAAGGCAAATTTGCAAAAAATCTGAATACATTTGAGCTGTATGAAGTCTCTCATTTGGACATTATCTATGACAACTGTTTAACTGTCCCATTTTTGTTATAATAAAGTATAAATGGTATGAGTTGCTGCTGGTTGTGGCAGTGTGGTTCAGAGCGTGAGCAGGCCCTCAGCTCTCCAGCAGCTCAGCCTCTTATTAATGCACAGGAGATCCGGCTCTTAAGAAGGCAGAAAATTGCCTTACATAACAAGCGCTCCACAATTTAGAAATACAAATGTGCACTGTTGACTGAAGCAGAAAATAAGACTGTTGCCCATCAACAGAACCACATTTCATATGAATAATTATAAAGCATGGGCGCTAGATGAGGAAAACAACCTGACCATGACAGCTCTACTACTTTTATTTACTTCAAATGAGGGATTAGGCAGGGAGAAAATCTACAGACTTAAGGACCAACGATGAGCCCTGAATTTATAAATAGGGAGAAACTTACATTTATCATATTTCACGATGATCATTTGGAGAACTGTGAAAGCGCTCACTCTTTTAAAATTACGCCTACAGG